TATCCTCAATAAATTAATCATCCTCCACTATTATCAATAATTTCGAAGAAAATATCTGGTAACACTTAATTTAAACCCAGCCCCCCCCCCCGAATCACCGTCAATGAACCTTAAAACTCGTAAATAGAATATCAAAACACAATGCATATGTAATAGGTACATGATAAATCCCTGACATGTTGGGATCATCATACATATACCAGCGTGAAGTTCGTAACGATTATGATAGAAGAATGTGGAGACACTGTAGTAAGAAATAAATATCGGCTAATTGAATAAATGCACCGAACGAAACGATCCTCGTGCCAACGTTCGTAAGGAAAGAAAGATCGAGCAAAGATCGGTAGAACATAAGTCCAGGCGTCAGACCCCGACACACGGCACACGTATTAGAAACGAATATAAATATATCGAGTGTGGTACTAGCGTTGGGATACGGTAGTGGGAGATATCTCTTGGGTATTGGTGCCGTCGAGACGAAGTTACACGCACGAAGAAGGCTCTAGTCCTGTCCTCGCTCGCGCACGAGGCCCCTTTCCTCCTCCCCCTCCTCTCTCTCTCTTCTTCTTCCACTTACCTTCCCTCCTTGTGCTGCTGCTGCGTTCTCCGTGAGGAAAGGCCCCGAGAGTGAGCTCAGTGTCCGCTCGGCCTCAGAGCGCCCCGTGCTAAGAGAGAAGGAAGGAAGGAAAGAACTGTAGTGAATGCCGCTTCTAGAAAGTTTTAATGCCTTACTCACCGGCTCTCTCACGACGATAGCGCGAGTTATAACCGCTCCCAACGGTATAGAAACAAAATACGAAAATCGCTAGAGCTATTCACGAGTGAATGTCTTGCGGGTCAGTGTTCTTCTACGAGGAGCTACGAAAGCTAACTTTCAACCCGTTTCTCCATCGTTGGATTTTGTTTGGTTAAGAAATAATTTTTCCTTTCCCAAACAAAACACACTTGAAAGATATCTTCCAATTGAATTTTTTTCCCTCTAAGAAATATTACTACCATTTTCTCCTAGTGATTCCTTTTTCAATATCTCTTCTTATCCTTCTATACCACTCTTCCCATCTTCTCCTCCTCCTCTTCCTCTTCCTCCTCCTCCTCCTTCTCCTCTTTCTGCTGTTCGTTCAACACGCTGCACCGTCCAACTACCCGGCGCTCAGCTTTGTAGTCCGCGAGCAGTGCCGCGTATTAAAACGTTAATCTCCGATGTGTACTACCGGTTATACGTACAGATTGCTTGTTTCTCTCTCTCACTCTTTTTCTCTCCCTCCCTTGGTCGTTTCTCCAGGCCTCCACCTCTCTTTCCTCAGCCCCTATGCCTTCGTCCTCCGGCTCGTTCGTGGCCGGTACCTTCGCCTTAACGCGTACTCGACTCGTCTCTCTCTCTCTCTCTCTCTCTCTCTCTCTCTCTCTCTCTCTCTCTCTCTCTATCCTTTTCCTTCTCCCCCTTTTCAACTGTTCAACTCTTCGTCTTCGACTAGTAGACCCGTCTTCGTTTTCTCTTCTTTCATCATCTTCTTCTTCTTCTTCTTCTTCTTCTTCTTCTTCTTCTTCTTCTTCTTCTTCTTCTTCTTCACCCCTTCAACACGCCAGTATCGTCCATAATTGCGAGTCCTTCATATCTCACAAGCTCCTGCTAAACCACTGATCGCTTCAATGAACCACAAGGAATTCAACGCTCACGTCAAAAGCTTCTAGCGATAAGACTAAATTGGCCAGGTGAACGATGAACGTCGAAAGATCACCTCAAGAGGAGGACGTCCTTCGTAAACCGAAGGACGGGAGATGTCTAGAGAAAGAAATTAGATGATGATGATGATATCGCCTATGTCGTCGATTCGCCGTTGATTAATCTAAAGAACGAGTGAGAATACAAGAGAAATAAAATAGATATGAAGAAGGAGAAGCTGTCGAACGCGTTGATCGCGTTGGTGCGACCAGAGGCAAGCACCTCGACTTCGAGTAGCTTAGCCAGAAGGAGAACAGCTACTGTCCTTGGTTCCAGGAGATGGTGGCAGGGTGGTTGTTGGGCAACCAGAAGCCACCAGGAGGCCTACCTTCGACGACTCTACGCGAGAAAGAACGAACAACATACCGGGAAAGGTAATGCCGAGGATAGGAACGTCGAGGTCGAAGGTCGAAGGTCAGAACTTGGAAATACTTGGTCGCAGTCTCCTCAGATCGTTTACGATTTACCAGCGAACGGTGAACATTATCTCGACGATTTTTTGAAGAATCGTAAGGGCGATATCACCGAGGTCGACATAGATGTTGTTGACGAAGAAGAGGAAGACGTTGTTGGTGTTATAGTCGGTTGTCCGGCCCTGACGGCCTCGCGTGCCAGTCCCACGGAGAAGTGCGTGGAATACTTGAACGGTGCTCATGACGCGACAACCACGGTGAACTTTGAAAACGATCGTCGCGAGCCCAATCGTATCAACGAGTGTGGATCATTACATTCTTGTTATGATGTCACAGAGTAAGTTTTTCGTCAATCACTTAAAAAAACTTACTCAAGAGAAAGTTTTCATTGGAAACATCGGTGGTATCATATTTATATTTAATCATTCAGTGCTGTTTATTACTACTATTCCTTCAAAGGAAAATATCTCTAAATTCTTTACTTTTTACAGCATATAGACAGATAATTGAAATATATAGTTTCGTATTTTAATAGCAGAGATATGAGTTCTCAATATCGTGTAACATAAGTATTGAGTTCGTCGATGAATGACATTGAAATTATCAATATCTTATGATGAAATAAATAACACTAGTATCTTTTCTGTAAATATTGATTTAAAATCATAATACCATAGTTTTGAGTTATTTATTGCATAAAAAATACTAGTAATATTTGTTTCGATTTAAAATATTACAATTTCAGACGTTACTCGTTACTTGACTCAATGTAAATTGATTCTCTTTCTCATAAGAAATTGATATACATATACACATATACTGCATTAAATGAATACATAAAATATAATTGTCGTTATATTGTAATAAATTTCTTAATTATATAACACGAATTATATTAAAAATGTTCCATTACTAAACATATGAAAGACACTTCTTGTTATTACTCAAAAGATAATTTCAAAGAATGACAGATTATTATAATAAAATCTTGGAATTCTGATCGTTGGCATTATTCTCGCTTTTCAGAAAGGTTTGCAGGAGCTGCAGGTGTCCGAGAGAAGAACATCAACGAGCATCGACGGAAACAGGCGGCCCATCTGGATTGGGCCTTGGCCCGGGCCCTCCGATGGCGATGGCAATGGCGTTTCAAACTGGTGCCGGGGCAGGTTCCCATCAGGAACCGTTCAAGAGCCCGGTGCAAGCGGCACCAGCTGGTCTTGCACTCCAGGAAGCTCTGATGCATCATCAGAGGCACTCGCAGAGCGACGACGATAGCGGATGCGCACTCGAGGAGTACACGTGGGTACCGCCTGGCCTAAGGCCTGACCAGGTAAGGAAGAATGGCTAGCTTTTCTTCTCAGATTCTTATCTCGAGCTCATATACATTCACCAAGCGAATACTTTTTCATCTTTTTCTTATTCTTCTTTTTCTTATATTCATATTAAGCTATTAATATCGTGTTTGAGGATTTCACGAACGCGCCTTTGAAACTTACACCTCTAGTCCGGGAGCTAGCAATGTTTTCGAGAAGGAATTGGGGATAAGCTAATTTTTTGATATGTCGTTCTTCTTGATCTTTCGGTTAGAACCTGCACTTCTTGGCTGGCCGTAGGTCTTGCGTTTACTAGTGCGCATCCTATCTGCACAGGTAATAATCCTAGATTTTAAAAGAATGTTGAGAAGCCTAATTTTTTATTTATTGACTTTAGATAGATTTATCAAGCATAAATTTTTTATTGCCATGCACTTTTCTCATTGCTAAATATCTGCCATGTGCGATTTTTTTTTGAAGTGAAAACTTCTTTAGAATAAGAGTGATCTAAAAAGTAAATAAAAGGTAACGCAGCTATGAAACGAAGCTATGTAACGAAGCTATGTAACGAAGCTATGAAACGGCTGCTATACTAAATAATGAGAGGAAAAGAGACAAACATATAGGATTTAGCCTGCGAGAGAATGAGACGGAATATAGCTATACACTTTTTCCTATTCTAGGTCTCCTCTTTATGCTATGCTTCGTAGTTATCGCTCCTGGTTTTATATGTGCGTGTTTGTGCGCGACTGCATACTACAAAGCGTGGACACATATTATTTCGATACTCGGAATGTTTGTAACGATAGAAGGGTAGAAGAATAAACACAGATAAGCACATAGGTATGCGACAAAAGTATAAGGTCCAAACGAACCGACRRTYGAAATRAAGAAAGAAGGTGCGTGGTCTGTTTTTATTTTACCAAACGTGGTATTTCTTTTCTATTTAAAAATGTTTCTATTTCATTAAAAAATTAATATTAAATTATTTATTTCGCACATATTGTAATTAACAATTACGAAATATATAGAATATAATAATATTATTGTCTGCAATATTTTACAAAAAAATGAAATAATTATCAGATACATCAGAGAAAAAAAATTAAACAACATTGTAGAATATTTTTCTTATAAATATCCAAAGACATGTTTTTTAATTTTAATGTTTGCGTACTTAGGAAATTTATACTAATTTTTCAATAAAATAGAAAAGTTTTTAAATAGAAGAAACTAGACACGTTACAAAAACAAATAAACCTTATTTACTTTATATTTCCAATAAGAATAAAATAATATAACTTATTTTACAAATATAGAAAAAAAAAATATAGAAAATAAATTTTTAAAAAATTTTTAATATTATAAAATAAAACAACGAAAATAGAAATAGATTTTAAAATCGTTGTAATTCAAAACCCGATGAAACGAAAAAGATACTACTACAATTGTTCCCTTCTTTAACAGCATCTACAGTTATTAGTTGCAACACAAAAAGAAATACTTGTGTAATTGATAATAAAGATATCTCTCATTCACAGAAAGTGTGAAAAGTGTAAGAGAAAAAAAATTCATCTACCTGAGTTTCAAAAAAATATATATTATATTCACTTGGATTAGGACGGCGTATCTTTCTGTCGACAAATATTCTACACTTTTCGTCTTTATCTATAGCTATCGCATTTAGCATTCCATCTTGATGGATAGAATTTTGAAAATATTAGTTTATGTCAGCTACCTACACCCCAAGGTCGGTTCCTTATCATGAGAAAAGAAATATAAAAAACAGGGAAGGTCTGTTGAAATTCGATCTACATTTATTATCTTTATTATCGATGCGATAATATTCATGCCTATAGTTTTTTTTACAACGTGTCATATCTTTTCTATTTAAAAATGTTTCTGTTTTATTGAAAAATTAGTATTAAATTCTTTATTTCGCAAATATTATAATAAATAATTATGAAGTACATAGAATATATAATAATTGTATTGTCTGAAATATTAAAAAAATAAAAGGATTACCAGATACATCAGAGAAAAAAAATTAGAGAATACTGTGGAATAAATGAGGAGCAGCTGATAAATTCCATTCAAAAGCAAGTAAATTACTGTCACATTTTTATATTTTGCTTCTTTATAAAATATATTTGATGCATAAAGACAAAATATGTCTATTAAATTTGATTTTTATATGTTTTTATGAAAAATATCCAAAGAGATGTACTGACCCATGCATATATGAAAATTATATTACAAATTGTGATATTTGCGTATTTAAGAAACTTATACTAATTTTTCAAAAAAATAAAAACATTTTTAAGATGTTGAACGCCCAGCGTGAATCGGTGGAGCTTACCACGGAGCTGAAATTTGAGACTCGTAGTGTATACAGTTCGATAAGCTGAGAGAGCGATACGATTTAATGCATTTTTTAGATTTTTCGTTGTTCAGATCTTTATTTAGACAAGAGTATTTAGAAAGATAAGTTTGTGGTCCAAAGAATAAGGACGAGATATGTTATAAATAATAAGGGTCTCTAAGTGTGGTAGGCTACAGAGTTGAAAAATCATTTCTAGAAAATATCTTTATTAGATATTTCATTGCATTTTACCAGAACCTTCGTTCAGTCTAGCAGTATTTTCCATATGTTTTTCGTAACGTCTTTATTTCATTTATCCTAAAATGTTTGTTATATAGCTCAAGAATGTAGATGAAAACAGGAAATAGAAAACCATACTAACAAAAAAAATTTTATACCTGAGTTTCAAAAAAAAGGATTATTTATTTTTACCTAATTTCTGACGAATTATATTTCCTTTGATAAACATCCTACCATTTTGGTGACTATTTATTACTGTCGCATTCAGCATTCCGTTTTTATTGCTTGAATTGTGAAAAGTGCACTTTTTATCAGCTATTACACCCAGAGACCATACTGGTGACCTTTATTATATGTAGTAATAATATTATAATAAATAAATCCTACAATTATCTTACTCTTAAAACTGTCCATTCGTTTCATTCTCTCGAAACTTAGATTTTTGAAGGTTTCACTTCTAACACGTGTGATCTGCACACATGATTTTTTTTTTAATAAAAAATTAAAAGTATCTTGGTATGCATGCAATTTTAATATTATATTATTTAAGTATGCAGAAACCTAAAATTAATTTGCCAAGTGTTTATTCGCTTGTTAAACCTAGAATAAGAACGACAAACTTATGAAAAGTATTGCAGTATGATGCTGTAGTTGTTATGTTCCTTTGATCATTGAGATAGTTTGGGAATTTATGGCTCTTTGGAATTTCCTAATATTGAGGTGAACAATACCTTATATTTGCTGCCTTTCGTATTTTATGATATTTTATTTCACATAGGCTTATCGCAGGTTCTATTTCACAGAAATTGAATATTATAAAAAATAACAAATATAAAGTTTATCGTCTTCAAAAGATTTGGGACTGAACATCATCTTGTAGACTTGCCAGTTGCGCCACCGTGGCTGTCTATCTCTCTTGCACTCTGAACTGTCTCTCTCTAACTACAGCATCATACTGCAATACTTTTCATAAGTTTGTCGTTCTTATTCTAGGTTTAACAAGCGAATAAACACTTGGCAAATTAATTTTAGGTTTCTGTATACTTAAATAACATAATATTAAAATTACATGAACACCAAGATACTTTTAATTCTTTATTAAAAAAAAAAAATCGCATATGGCAGATATTTAGCAATGAGAAAAGTGCATGGCAATAAAAAATTTATGCTTGATAAATCTATCTAAAGTCAATAAATAAAAAATTAGGCTTCTCAACATTCTTTTAAAATCTAGGATTATTATCTGTACAGGTAGGATGCGCACTAATAAACGCAAGACCTACAGCCAGCCAAGAAGTGCAGGTTCTAACCGAAAGATCAAGAAGAACGACATTTCAAAAAATTAGCTTATCCACAATTATTATTTTCCCGACTTTGCTAGCTCCCGGACTACTCGCTTTGATGGATAATTGCAATTAAACAACAGTTCACAAATACCTTTTCTTTTCTTCTCTGTATTTTTTTATGTTCTTCTTTTTCTTCTTCTTTTGTTATCATTTATCCTAGGTTTGATAAAAATCGATGAACACTTTTTATCGCGATTCGCTAGTATGTTGTTTACAACCACACTTACTTACTTACGCCTCCTCACTTAAGTCTTTCCACATTCTAATTATTTGTATATCTAATTACAATTTTAACAGGACTAGACTGAAACTCGCTCATTTCACGATCGGTTATACAGCTGCGTGCATAGCCATTAAACCGTGAGAGCGCAATTTAATCCATGAGAACACCACCGCGATAGTATACTGTATACTTATATAGGATGTTGCAGGAGTAACGCGTGAAGAAAATGCGCCATGGAAAATTGCTGCTCGAGCACGACTACTTATTAGATTAGACTGCTTTTTAACGCGAGATCGATTTCGTTCCGTTACCATCGATTCTCATTTATTCAAATATGCATGGCAAAGGTACGTGTTATCGTACATCTTGCAACATATCAAAAATAATAGACATTTTCTTAAGAAAATTAGTTTTACATAGTAATGATTATACAATAATGTAATATGTTATAATACTTTATTTAAATGAAGTCTATTAAATAATAAAGTAAAGTATAGTAGGAATATTTATTTACTTTATAAACCAATACCTTTTTCATAATTATTTATTCTTTTTGTTCGTATAATTTATTCAAGTTATATACAGGGTGGGTCACCACATTTTACCATCTAGATTTACGTTATTATTATAACGCGTAACAGACAATGTTTCACATGGAGTATAATAGCTTTAAAAGGGGTTCATACTAATAGTACTTTTTTTTTGTAGGTGGACGTGTAAAGGACATATGAAGGTCATTAATGTTTTTTTAAACGGAATCATATATTTTTTATTGCATCATCTGATGCTCTTTCATATTATTTACAAACAAGTATTAACCTATTTATGTAAAAAAATTATTACTTTAGGAGATATTTTAATTTTTATGTCTATTTACAAAGCACAAATACCATTCATATCATGTATCAAAGGTTCAAGAACTGACCGCAAATGACTGTTATCAACGTTTAGAATTTTTTAATTTGGCTCTCACTCAAAGAGAAAACTTTTTCAGCAATGTTATGTTCATGGACGAAACAACGTTTATGAAAAATGAAGAATTTAAGAAATGCCCATTATTGGTCAACGGAAAATTCTCATTGGTTTAGACAAATGGATAATCAACATCGATGGAGTGTAAATGCTTGGATGAGCATACTCAGCGATAAACTTATTGGTCCATACTTTATCAAAGGATCACTAACCGAACCAAAATATGCAAATTTTTTATCAAACACTCTATGGACATTTTTAGACTATTTACCATTGCATAGACGACAAATAATGTGGATACAACAGGATGGTTGCCCTGCTCATTATTTAAGAATAGCAAGGGATACATTAAATCAAATGTTCCCAAATCGTTGGATAAGACGAGGTGGGCCCATTCATTTTTCGGTTAGATCACCAGATCTAACGCCCCTCGACTTTTTCTTATGGGGCTACTTAAAAAATAAAGTTTACACTGAGCCTCCGACTACAATGGCCGATATGAGGGATCGTATCGTCAATGAATGCAAGAAAATAACATCAGATACATTAAGAAACGTTAATGAATCATTAATTTCTCGATTCAGAAAGTGTTCTGATTCAAATGGTCGCCACATTGAACCTTTTTTGTAAATAATATGAAAGAGCATCAGATGATGCAATAAAAAATATATGATTCCGTTTAAGAAAACATTAATGACTTTCATATGTCCTTTACACGTCCACCTACAAAAATAAAGTACTATCAGTATGAGCCCCTTTTAAAGCCATTCAACTCCATGTGAAACATTGTCTGCTACGCGTAATAATAATAACGTAAATCTAGATAGTAAAATGTGGTGACCCACCCTGTATAAGATTTTGACACTTGTTGTTTGTGGAACTGTTGTTTAGCGTAGACAATATTTTATTAATGATACAAATGGTTCCTCGCTCTATTCATATCATAGAATATATTATCTTTCCGTCAAAATAATTTAATAATTGTATAGTAATAAATTAGAAGTAAACACAAATATGTTTTTATTTACGATACAAATATAATAATAAAATGATTACAATAAGATTCGCGGATAAATGAATAGATTATTTAGAAAAACAATATTTATGTTAGATGGACGAATTTTTATTTTTATTTAAAAATAATTTATATATTGGATCTACAAGTAAGTTTCCAGCGTTTTTTATGAGAGTTTATTCTGAAAAAATGGTTACATATTTTTCATTCGAAATATTGTCCATCGGAAGATACAATTTTTCCCATTTTTCTGGCAATTTGTGAATTCCGGACCAAAAAAGTTCTCGTCTTTTGAGCCTAAGAACGTATTGAGCCAATTTTTGATTCCCTCTACTGAAGTGAAGCGCATTCCGGTAAGAGCGTTCTGCATCAACCGAAACAAGTGGTAATCGGATGGCGCCAAATCTGGACTATAAGGCAGGTGAGGCAGAATTTCCTATCCACTATTATCCAAGTAGTTTTTAACCGAAGCAGCAACATGTGGCCGAGCGTTGTCGTGGTGAAAAATTACGGACTCGTGCCTGGTCTCTGATATTCTGATAGTTTTTCCGCCAATGTCCGCTTCAAACGAATTAGTTGGATTCGATACAATGGTCCTTTGATGATTTGACCACTCGGAAGCAGTTCGTAGTATATGACACCCTTCTTATCCCACCATATGCAGAGCATGACCTTTTTAATGTGAATATTTCGCTTCGGTGTCGATTTGGCCGGCTCGCCAGATTTTGCATATGTTTTTTTGCGTTTAGGATTATCATAAAGATCCACTTTTCGTCACCAATGACAATACGATACAGAAACGACTTTTTTTTATGTCGCTGCAGCAACATTTCTGACATACAAAATCGCCGTTCGACATCTCTCGGCTTCAACTTGTACGGCACCCAATATCCAACTTTTTGGATGAATCCCAAAGCTTTTAGGCGCAGGGAAATGGCTTGTTATGTGACGCCCAATGATGCAGCAAGCTCTTCTTGAATTTGACACGGATCTTCATCCAGCAAAACCTTCAATTCCTTGTCTTCAAAATTTTTGCTTTCGGGAGCGCTCCTTGTCTTTAACGTCAAAATCACTATTTTTCAACCGTTTGAACTACTCAACACGTCGATTCACCAATACATTCCGCCCCGTAAGTTTCCAGAAGCAAACGATAGACCTCAGCTGCACTTTTCTTCATATTAAAGAATAGAAGCAGCGCTTCCAGCAAATGACGCTTATTTGACACATAACTTGCCATCTTTTTGCTTTATAAAATATACGGCGCCGATAGAAATGCGCAAATATGATGATACAATGTTGTTAACAAATACATAAGTTTCGAAAATGACACATGAGATGTGATATTTCTGCCCGGAATCTACTCGTGACACTATCTATTAAAAAACGCTGAAAACTTACTTGTGGATCCAATAATATAAATACAATTTATATATAATGAAACATGATATAATAGATAACTGTGTCGTTTTTAAATAAGATTTATTGTTTAGTATCAAGCACGATGTATATATTTTTGGTGGTATGCTAACACTCTTAATAATTAATTCACTTAAAATCACTTCTGCATCTTTTAACTTTTACTTTTATCTATGTTCACTATTATCTTAATATGAAGAAATATTAAATTATCTTCTTTAATTTGATTTTTTTTACTCATTTATTATTACTATGACTATTCACTCTGCCTTTTACGGGTTCGAGTTTTTTCTCTACAAACATCTTCTCACACTTATTAAATATTACCTATCTTTTTACCACCTCTCTGCAGATGATTAATAATGTTGGTTTTTGTATTATCTGTTGTTTTATAATTTGTATTAAATGTTTAATAAATGTAATACGTAAGTAAACGTAAAATTTTAGTATTTTTCTGTAAAATGTAAACATTTAACATAATAAAACAATATTATTTTCGTTCCTTTTTTCCTAATTTTGCTCCTAAAATCAGGAGTATTATGAGTAAATAAGTCCAATTAGGAATTTTACAAAATAAATATAAAAGATCTTTTCAAATCGCTTTTTTTTCAAAAGTATTGGTGTGTTAAGCTGTTAATTAAATTTGATAATTCGGGTTCATAAGTTTAATCCATTGACTGCCAACTACGAGATATCTCGTAATAAACGTGTACACCTAAACTGAGATATCTCGTAGTGTGTACTGCAATTTTATATTCATAACAAATGGCCATTTGAGTTAAGAATTGTTAAAAAGGATGAATGAAAAATATTTATGGTGTAAAAAAAATATTAAACCTTGGCACCCAGGGCAAGACGCTCTAAATATGCCTAGCAATCAATGGGTTAAGATTGTTATTATAGAGTATCGCTAATAATAAAAAGTGTATTTGTAAACGTTCTAGGTGCATCTGTACTTCAGTAGTCTACCAGAAGAGAAAATACCGTATGCGGGTAGTGCCGGTGAACGGGAGAGGGTGAAACAACTGCTTCAACAGCTACCACCACACGATAACGAAGCTAGATATTGTAGCGGGCTTTCGGAAGAAGAGAAACGTGAGTTGAGAGTGTTTGCGGCACAACGGAAACGGGAAGCTCTTGGTAGAGGACATGCGAGTCAATTGGAGAGGCCACACACCAGCGGATGTCGAGAGTGCTCGAGGCCGATCGCGACCGGTGAGATGGCAGTTGCAGCGAATCGTGCAGGTCCTTCTGCCCTTTGGCATCCAGCCTGCTTCGTTTGCTGCGTTTGCCGGCAACTTCTCGTCGATCTCATTTATTTCTGGCGAGATGGAAGGATCTACTGTGGTCGACATCACGCGGAGACTTTAAAGCCACGATGTTGCGCCTGCGATGAAATCATTCTGGCTGACGAATGCACCGAAGCCGAAGGCAGAGCTTGGCATATGAGACATTTCGCGTGTCTCGAATGTGATCGACAGGTAAAACTTAAGTTCCTTTAATTTGATTGAATGATTTCATTTTAAGTCAAATCAATTATTCAAGTAATTTTTTTCGATTTGGATGACTCAATCCATTCGAGATCACGATTTATTTTCGTATACGACTCCCAAGAGTTATTTTTCTTTTCTTTATATTGTTCATGTTTAATTAAAAAAACCTGTTTATTATGGAAATCACCCAATTCGTAAGTGAATTCGCATAAATAAGCTGGTTGCACGCCGTGTGTTGAGCTCGCTCCTCAGAAAATTTTTATTGCGATGAGCGAATTGAACGCCATGTGTGCAATATAAGATAAAATAAAAATACATCATTGAAATTGATAAACATTTTTTTCGAAATTAGTTAGATAGTATTTTCTATTTTACTTTCAATAATGAAAAACAGAATATAATGCTAAGAAAATTTGTAAGAAATAGTAAGAAGTTAACAAAATATGCTGAATAATGAAGAAAATAATATAAATAAGAAATAAAATTTAAAAAAAATGTCTAAAAGGTAATAAAGTAATGTAACTCAGTAATGAAAAAGAAAATATAATTTGTAAATAGATTTTTAGGAAATAGTACACTGACTGTAGAGTAAAAAATTGCATTGATATTTTATAAAAATGTAGATTTTGATAATTCAAACAAAGTTTTTTGTTTTTTTTTTATGCTTGAAAACTAATATCAAATTTTGTTTTTCTATACTTTAAAAATACTATTCATGTGAAAAAAGACTTATCTCAACAATTATTTTACTCAAAATAACTGATAATAGCTCATTATTAATGTTACATGCACGGTGTGCAAGTAATCTCGAATGGGTAAAAGTATAATATTTCAAGCATTTGCCTGATCAACGTAATGACACAGAAAGTAATTGTAATTATTTCTTAATACTGTCTTGTCTTTAAAAATCTTCGAAATATCATTTCAAATAAATAATTAAAACAGATATCTTTTAGATAATTGCATTATCGAGCTATCACGAATATACTCGTATTTGCACATTCACTTACATAATAAATAGATTACAGGCCCGACCTAAAAAATCGATGGGTCATCTGATCCCCCAAGAAACCTGTATGGGACGATATAGGGGCATAAAATAATAATTTTTAACACTATGCCGTTACTTGTAAGCTATCCAACTGAGTCCAGGTGAGAATTAAAAAGCACAAAATAACCGGGTGCTTTTTTATCAAATCCATCGAAAATAATGAGAAAACACGTAGTGCTGTTAAAAAATAGTAAGCCACAAAGTCGGAGAAAATTTTTGATTTTCTGACAAAACCCAGGGTCTATTAAATCATTTGATTTTGAACGGCGTTGGTTTCATACAATTTCAATACCTATTCTAATTGATTATTCCGCAACGCCGTATAAAAATTATGCAACAAGGGAGAAAAATCGAGGGTTAAAATCCACCTTTTTTCACGGGTCTGGGGGGTGATCTGAAAAAGAATGGCATCGGTTTCAATTTATTTTTTAGCATTTAGAAGTACTAATTAAAATAATGCCATTTAAAAATTGTTGTTTATTTGAATGTATATCAATAATTAACTTTATTTAATCGTATATTCGACTTTTACAGCTGTAAAATCATTTAACTCTGTACGGCAACTTGTTTTTTAACATGATATTGCTATGTACAATTTTTCTATATTATTGCCGTTAAAAAAAACTGTTTAAAAAAAAATATAGAGAAAACAAATAATGAGATTTTTTCAATTTTTGCAAAAGTTTAAATTGTCGTACATTAATAACATAAAGCAATTTTTTAAATGTTATTGTTGTTTTAAATAGTATAAGGGTCAATGAATGAAGAAAAAATCATGCCGTTCATTTTAATGCAGACCATATTTTTTGGCAAATAAAAATAACACTTCCGTTTTAGGGGGTACTTTATCGTCATCTAATACTTTACGGCATTAACATATTTTTGAAGGGAACAATTGCTAATATGTAAAAATTATTATGCCGTTTATTTAAAGTGAAACAGTGTCAATATTATATTCCAAAAATAAAAACTATCAAACTCAGTATTAACATTTTTCAATAATTTTTGATAAAATATACTTCAAATACTGTTATTTTTTTATATAGGAAATATTAATAAAAAATAAAAAGTACTACAATTTTATTAAATAATTTCACATATGTTTTATGAGTAAACAATAAAATTGCTGATAGCTGACTTAAACTATACAATATTTATGTGGAAATATATATATTTTTAATTTCATGATTTGCTTATTTATTATTGAAAGTACAATTGAAAATAACTAGTATTGTTAAACTAAAAAGTTGTTATAAAGAATTTTTTTTTGTTACGGAATCCCCAGCCAGAAAAAATAAAAGTAAAGTCTATTGCTGTTTATTTGGTTGTACAAACATAGCTTGTCGTGAAGAAAAAATTAAGTTTTTTACCTTCACGTAAGTATTTTCAACAATTATTTTTTCTGGTTATTATAAATTGTTAAATCAATAAAT